AGCAGCATGTCAGTCACCTCCCCGGCAATGCAGGTATGAACCATTATTTTCTTAATTACATAAAATACTCTCTGTCAGAATTCCCATTACAATCTGCTGATTTTCCCTGAAAGTCAGTGGATTTATTCTTTAGTCCAGCTGTTTGAACTCCTGTTCATGCAACAGCTGTGAATAGAAACCTTTCTGAAGTGTAAATAAGAACTTTACTTTTAGTGATCGAGTGTCTGTTGGTGTCCAGTTAACCATTCAGGTGCAGAACGTCCCTGCGCTGTCTGGTGGGGTTACCTGTGTGTTTGAGGACCTGAGTAATGCTCCCGGAGAGGTGCGGGCCAAAGGTCAGGTGATGTGTATGTCACCATCACTGAGGGACCTTCCAGCACAGACACACTCCTTTGGTAAGAAACACACACAAATTCATGCTTCAGTGAATTCAGAGGACATCACCTTTCCTTACTGTCCTGTCGTGTTCTGGAAATTTGACCTTTAACTTGACCCTCACTTTAACCTAACCCTACTTTTCTCTTAACCTTACCTTAATCTAACATCAGCCTAACCCTAAAATTCAGTAGTTTGCCTTTTGGGGACCCAAAAGGTCCCCATTCTGAGATTGTGCTAATGCAAGTCCCCAAACAGCAGAAAAACAAGTATACACACACCCGCTTATTCTGAACTTGTTTCTTTTGCCTTCTCGTTTTTCTCGGTTACCACATTTAATGTGCAATTCTAATGTTTTGTAATCATGTCAGCTTCAGTGTAATGCGCCATTATATTGATCACTATGAACTAAGTATTAAGAAGGATGTTATTATGCTGTTAATTTCAGGAGCGAAACGAGTGGTGCAGCTCAGCCTTCGCTCCACAGAGACTGGACACCAGTTCATCACCACAAACCTCATCTACTACAACTGCTCTGTGCTCAACTCGTAAGCCTTAAACACCTCTAACCTAATTATCTCATGTGTCTCTTCGGTAATGAACTCATAAATTCTTGCTGGTTGTGCTCGACCACTCAGAACTTTTCTCTCTTTCCTCTCTCAGGTGCACTTCCTGTGTCAGCAGTGAGTTTCCGTGTCATTGGTGTAAATATCGTCACATCTGCACCAACAACCTGCAGGACTGCTCCTTCCAGGAGGGACGAGTCAGCAACATGGAGGTAACACACACACAGACCTGTTTTCATCACTTAACTGGACTTACAACCAAGCGCTCACACTAAAATGTGATTCGCCGTATGGGACTTTATGTCCCCCGAAGGAAGGTGAAGGAACATCTTTGCGTCCCCACAATGCTTCACATAGCTGCCTGGCATGTTTCGACACTAACATAAGGCAGAGAGGATGATAAGTAGACGTAATATTACTGTGATTATTAGAACAGAAAAGGTCCAGGTTTCTAAAGACCTTTTTGTGTGCTAAATACCAAGACAAGGATCAATGACACAAGCCTACTGTGCCCAGATCTGAACAATCACAAGGAGATTGGATGGTTGGCCTGAGTCGTTTACATGTTGAAAATTAAATAAAATGAACATAAATAATCTACAACAATGTACAAAGACAAGCAACAGCAAATAAATAAAAACCTGCTTCTGAATGGCTATGAGCAGATGGAAAACCGTCATAAAGAGACACAAATTAAATACAATGAGGCGCGAAAGCCCTACAAACAATCTGGCATGAATACAAAGAGACATAAAACAACTATAAGAAGACACAAAACAACATATAACTATGAGCAAGTCACAACAAACTCAAACTTCAGTTCTGCTGTCAGTATGGCTTCTCTGTAGGAGGAAGTGAGGCCGTCGTCTCAAAAGTCATCAAAGATGCTTATCGATGTGTAAGACGAGACCTCTTTTCCAACCTGTTCATAATTGAACACATCATACAGGCGTCGAACTCCAGGCCTGGAGGGCCGGTGTCCTGCAGGTTTTAGATGTGTCCTTGATCCAACACAGCTGATTTAAATGGCTGAATGACCTCCTCAACATGTCTTGAAGTTCTCCAGAAGCTGGTGATGAACTAATCATGTGATTCAGCTGTGTTGACCCAGGGTGAGATCTAAAACCTGCAGGACACCGGCCCTCGAGGCCTGGAGTTTGAGTAATAGGCAAATTTCTAGAATTTTCCATCCCAAACCTCTAAAACTTTATTTATACTTTTGTGTTAACCTTATGTAAGACTTCATGTTTATGCTAGTAGCCGACACGATTGCCACCAGTTACTCTGAGATTTTTCAAAAACATGTTGGCAGTGGCAGTTTTTGCTCTTCAGGATGACTTTACTGTTCGATTAGAAGTGCACATAGAAGTGGGCTGGGTCAGTACAATATATATACAGTAGTAGGTGCACTTGAGGTTTAGAGTATGGAATAATGTGCGGTGTAAGGTTTCAGATGGGTTTCCAGTTACGACATACTTACAGTGTGGACTATTGCAGAGCTATAAGTCCTCTATAAGCATAACCTCTGCTGCTTCAAATGGACGTTCCCTTTATCTTATGGTGATCCTAATGGTTAACTCGAACTCTAACCACTCAATTTCTGTGCCTAACTCTCACTGTGTAGAGTTTCAGGCCATGTGTTGGTTTTTGTTTTTTTGATTGACCCATTTGCCTTTAATTCACGAGGCCAAGACACAACATGGA